AATAGTACATTGGGGCCAGTATATCAAGGAGCTTGAATGTCAAGGTATAGAATTTAAACTTCATTTTTCACATGGAGACATCAAATTATTTTAAACACAAGAGTGACAGGATTAACTCTAAGTTTTAGAAAGATGATTAGTCACAATATGATGTGCTGAGTGAAATCTCTTATAGGTGCAATGCGAATGTCAGGACCCAAGTCCCCTCTGAAGTCCCAAGATGAAGCAGCCTAACTAATCTGTATGTGGCCACAGGTACCTGGCTGTGATTCCAAAGCTCCAGGCTCCAGGGCAGGGCGGGGGGAAGGGGGTAAGATGAATATTGTTGGGATGTCTAAGAAGTATGAAGGGAATAGGAAGGCAAATGCATCAGGTTTACTGACTTGAGAGAAATTAATTATGGATTAATGGGTTAATGGATTAATGGGTTATCATGATAGACTAGTGGCTTCATAAGGAGAAGAAGAAAGCAAGTGAATACACTCTTGCCCCTTTGCCTACATTGCCATGGTATTGCAGAGAGTTCCCACCAGGAGGAAGGCCCTCCCTAGATGTGTCCCCTTGACCTTGAACTTCCTAGCCTCCAAAACTGTAAGAAATAAATTTGTTTCTTTATATATTTCCCTATTTCAGGTATTCAGTTACAAGTGACAGAGAATAGACTAAGACACCTGCCGTTTCTTCTGTATAGTTCTAATTCTTCCATTTGTAATTAATAAGTAATCTGTGTGAACAAACTTTGAGACTATATAAAGTCCTATTCTTCATCAAACTTTACTTTCCCTCTCTCCCTACCCTGGACTTAGGCTCCATCAATCATTTTTTGTCTGATTCAATTTTACTATGATGAGTACAATATAGTGATTTTCTAACTCTATCTTATTTCTATATTTATTAGGCAACATTCTATTAAAACTATCTTTTACTCATCCATCCCTCCCTCCATCCACCCATCCAGTCTATCTAACCTATCATAGTATGGAATCGTGGTTCTATTTTATTCTATGAATTATATCCATTACTGTGCTTATTTCTGGTGCCCAAGCAAGCTCCTGTGTCCTTTAGACATGGCTCCATCATTTTTTTTTACAGGTTTATTGAAGTATTTTTGGCATGCAATTTGGTGACTTTTCACATATCCATACATCCAAGAAATGATACAACAAATAATAAACACATCAATTATTTCCAAAAGTTTCCTTGTCCTCCATCCCTAGTAATCATGGATTTGTTTTTTACCCCTTGCCACACATGTCAGACTAGAGACCCTGGGTGGCAGGTGAGACCCTCCAAACACCCACAATTTGGAGCAGTAGGGATGAGGAAGGAAGTCGGGGGCATCTCTCCTGGCTACATTAGAAAACTTTTCTAGAAATGCTTTGTGCTGATCACCCAAACACTCTTATTCACAAATCATTTCTTTAAGGACAGCGGTAATTGGGTTGGATTTTTAAGGCTTTTAACTTCCTTTTCTTTTTTCCTTCTAGCAGCTGCCACTCTCATCCTATTTCAGTCAGGGTTCAAATGCTTCTTTGCGATGGCCCAAACAGCATTCCCTTAGAATTATCTCAGCTTTTCAGTAGCATTCAGCAATATGTTAAACAGCCTTTTTTTTTTTTTAACATGTTTGATACTTTACGGTCCCAACCTTTCAGGTATTTTGTTCTAGTCTTGGGTGGTGGGGTAAGAAGTCCAAGAAAGCACCTTTTCAAGGAACGTTGCTATGTTTTTGAGAAATACTGTACCTAGGCTTAGTTTTAACTCTTCATATTAGTTTGGACTATGCTCTGATTTAATTTTAGAAGTTCAAAATTTAAGTCAAATTAAAAATCTTTGTAACATACATGTAATTTCTTCTTCTAATAGGAGTGAATAAAAAGAACACACATGAACAGTTCATCTTCCATATTCATTCCTTTATAAGTTGGCATGTGATACAGTTCATATTGAGGTAAATGTGTGAAGTTTTGGCTAAGACAGCAGTGTGAAATTAAGACTTTTGTAATCTTTGATTGAAGGATAAGAAATAAGAAATATCTCTTACTATTGTTCAAAAATAAAGTAAAATTCAATAGAATAACAGCAAGAAGAAAAATGGTAGGAGGTTCTAATTGGCCTCTGTAAGAAATCGATAGATCAAGCAGACAAAAATTAGCAAGGATTTAAAAGATTTGAACAATCAATTTAAAAAGCCTTGCACCCAATAAAAAGAACACTTTTAAAAAACATTTTTAAAAACGTAAATCCAACATTTGTAAAAACACATGAATGCAACATATTTCAAAGGGAGCATAGAGGCTATGCATTCTTTTCAAAATCATATGGAACACAAGGTTTCACAACTCTCAAATTTTATCACTCAGGTAGTGTTCTCTAACAAAAATGAAATTATATTAGAAATAAACAATACAAGATGGAAAATATAATGTATTTGAGAAAACCACATTTTCAAATAATCAGTAAGTTAAAAAGGCAATAACAAAGTGTGAAATCTTTAGAATTGAATGACTATCACAATACATACATATCAAAATGTTTAACAATCAGCTCAAATGGTACTTAAGAGTAAGTTTACAGTTTTAAATTTATTAAAAGACAAGAAGATGCTGTGGTATGGCCAGATCCAGCCTTGCTCAAATTTTGGCTTTCTATTTTTTCAGGTATCTTAACAAAATGAATAAGAGCATGTACCAATTCACACACAACTTGTCTGTGACGATAGCACATTTCTGAATTTTTACCTATATATTGAGATTGTGATGGTCTCACCATCTAAATCAATAAATATAGTTCTTAATTTTTAAGAACTTCCCTATCTTTATGATTTTTAAATTGAATTATAATAGGGTACAAACATCATAAATAAATGTTCTATTTTTTTCTTGACAGAAGAGGCTGTTTAATACATTAAGTCTGTTAGTTTGTTCTTGTTTTATCCTCTTCTAGATGGTTATGTATGTTCATTATTACATTTTCTGAAACATGCTATTAGAAACAAGTTTATCCAAGGTTCCAGGTATTACAGAGTTTCTTCTTCTTATGTTTATTGTCTTCATATTTTCTGAAATAAAAATAAGAAATCTGTAACATCCAGAAATAACACATTATTAATTTATAAAAATGTAATTATTTCCATGACGATTTTTTAATTAAAATCTTTCCTTATTGTGTCCTCTTTGACACTAGTACTCCTTTTACATAGAGAAGATAACTTTACATTGGCAAAAGGTATCATTCTGAAGATGTATTCGGCAATGCTGTCACAGTGTTAAAATTATTGAAAGTAGATTTCCACCTGTGGATCCTGGGAAATCTGCATAGTCAGATGATCATTACAGCCCACAAACTGTTATAATGTGCAAACATATATTTTTTTCATTGTACATGCTAATGGGGTTCAGTTTGTTTCAATATGTGCATATATTATATAATGATCCAATCAGAATAGTAAACATATCTATCCTCTAAACATTTATCATTTTTTTTGTGGTTATAATATTCAAGATCCTATTTTATGTCTATCTTGAAATATACCGTATTATGAGCTATTGTCACCTTAGAGCACCAGAACTTCTTATCTAACTGTAACTTTGTGACCGTGTACCAGTTTACCAACCTTTTCCATGGCCTCCCTTTCCCCCTCCATTTCCCTGCCCCTGATAACCACTCTTCTACTCTCTATTTTCCTCATTTTATTTTTCTTAATTGACCCATGATAACTGTATGTATTAATGGAGTACAGTATGATATCTGGGTACATTCATACTGTGTGCAGTGATCACATCAGGATGTTTAGTATATTCACCGCCTCAAACATCTTTCACTTCTTTGTGTTGATGACCTATTTGGGTTGAATCTATTTGGGGCCTTTGAGTTTCCTGTGTTTGGATGTTTGTATTTTCCTGGGACTAGGGAAGTTTTCACCTATTATTTTATTAAATGGGTTTTCAGTTTCTTTTTTGTTTTCTTCTCCATCTGTAGTGCCCATAATCTGAATATGTGTTCGCTTACTAGTATCCTATAGAGCTTTGTAAGCTTTGTTCATTCTTTTTTCTTTCTTTTCTTTTTCTTTTTTTTTTGTCTTCTGGTGTTATTTCAAAACTATCTTCAAGATCAGAAATTCTTCTGCTTGATCTAGTCTGTCGTTTATACTCTCAGATATGTTTTTATTTCACGCATTGAATCCCTCAATTCCAAGATTTCTGTTCGATTTTTTAAATGATATTTATCTCTTTGTCGAATTTCTCACTCAGATCGAGAATTGACTTTTTGACTTCATCGCATTGTTTGTCTGTATTCTCTCATATCTCAGTGAGTTTCCTTAAGATTATTAATTTGAATTCCTTTTCTGGCAAGTCAGCAAATTCCGATTCTTTGGGATTACTTAGGTTGTTTTTATTTTTTGTTTTTGGTGGTGTCATGCTACCTTGTGTTTTCATGTACCTTCTTTCCCTGTGTTGGTATCTGTGCATCTGGCGGAACAGTCACCTCTTTGAGTTTTGTAGAGTGGCTTGTGGTGGAGAAAGACTTTTATGTGCAAATACATGCTAGGGTGTTGATTGGGCAGAGTGCAAAGGCTTTATTCTGGATGGATGTAGTAGTGTAGACTCTGTGTAGTTTCTTCAGCTATAATACACTTGCACTATGTGTCCAAGTGATTGAGTGACCTATGCTTCAGAGGTTTGTGGTGGTGGTAGCACAGCTTTCCTGGAGAGGGATCATTGGGTTAGTTCATGGGCTGTGGGTGTGTGTGCACCTGCACCCTGTGGGTCAGTCATCTCAGGAGCTGGCTCATGGGAAATGTGGTTGCTGGATAGATTCTCAGGCTGGGGGTGTGGGTGTATGGTTTGCCAGGATCTTGAGGACTGATTTTCCAGTAGCAATGTCTCTGTGCTGCTTCTCTGACCAAGGGTGGGACCATCAGAGGCACATGAGCCGGGCTCATGGGAAATGTGGTTGCTGGATAGATTCTCAGGCTGGGGGTGTGGGTGTATGGTTTGTCAGGATCTTGAGGACTGATTTGCCAGCAGCAATGTCTCTGTGCTGCTTCTCTGACCAAGGGTGGGCCCATCAGAGGCACATGAGCCAAGGTGTTTCTCACTTGGATGTGTGTGCGTGTGATGTCTCAAAGACTTGGGCGTGGGTCTTCCAGGAGTGTGACAGCTGAGTTGCTTCTCTGAGCCAGGGGCATAGGTGTGCTTTGGCATGGCTAGTTGAGTGCAGGTCTGCTGGTAGCCCTTCCAGTGTGCCAGTTCTTGAAGAATGTGCAAATATTTCAAAACACTCATTTTATTTGATTTTTATAGTTTAAAATATAAGTAAATATAGAAAAGATTTAAGGTAACAAAGTGAAAATAATCCTTTATTAATAATGATACATGAAAAAAGTCAGAGATTAAATTTAAAATGAGGACTGAAGAAATTTTGCTGTGAATATAAGATAATATGGGTGCTACGTTTCATATGAAATTAGTTTTGAATTTCTTCTTAGTCAAAGGTAAAAAAACCCACATTGGGCCAAAAGAATAATGACAATTCTTTGGGAAAGAATATCTTTTTCTAGCCCTAAATTCTAAGAGAAATTGTTCTATGCATCTTTACATAAAAGAGAAAATAAAATGTAAATAACAGTTTTGAAGAAAATGCAAAAATGTCATATATCATTCTTTAATAGAACCAAAGGGCATAACCTTAAATAATAATTCAGTTAAAGCGTTCCATCACCTCCAACTAGGCTTGTCAGATTTAGCAACAACAAGAAGAAAACAAGGGGGACAAACACACAAAATGTCATTGTTTGAAATCTAAAGTTAATTGGATGTCCTCTACTTTATCTGGCAACCCTGCATCCAGCACATTTAAACATGTGGCCCTATGCCCAGTGCTCTGAAATAAAAGGAAAATGACTTTTTATGTAGAATGGAGCATTAGAAAGTTATAGAAAAACACATTATTTTCTTTTTTATCACTTAATACAAAAAAATTTTCCTTTACATATTTTATTTGACTTTTCACAAATTATCATTTTATTAATACCAAAATATTTTAGATGTTTCTAAAAGAATTTTTGATATTTTTTACAGTTGTAGAACATGAAATGATAAAGGACATTTAAATTGAACATCTAAATAAATTTCAATTTCAAAACTATTTAAGAAAGTTCATCACTAAGATATTTTTGAGCTATAAGCTACATGAATAGAAATGAAATTATATTTCTGTTTAATGAAACTACACAAAATTTGTCTTATACTAAAAAAGTTTTATAATAAGTGTAACACATAATTTGACTGGTTAAGGAACAAATTTTACATTTTTTAGAAAGACTGAAAGGAGTGAATATGAAGGAAAACAGTGACAAAGTTACATAGTGAGCATACATAGGACATAAGGATTAAAATAACATAAGATTAACAAATATCTGATAAGTGTTTATGTATTTATATCAGTTTTTTATACTTACCACTTTATTATTGAAGGCTTAATTTTTAAAAATATGATGTAATCTCTTAATCACTCTTAATAAAGTTGAAAAATAGTCTAATCCTTGTTATGCCATTTTTTCCAAAGAATGATTCTGATAATTTTTTAAAAAGCTGTTAGAATTATGAAACTCCTAATAGTAGATATCCTGTTCAAATTTTAAAAATAATTTAATTATAATCACATTTGATATGCTAGTGTTATTGCTTTCTGTCTATTTTATGTGGTATAAAGTAAAAAAGGAAAAAAGCCAAGATTATAACATCAAAATATGAATGTTAATATGTACATTCTACTTAACATGTCATGACTTAACAAAAATTAGGTTAAAATACCTTATCTGACAAAAAATATATAATGAAAGAAAAGGACCCCATTGTAGTATCACCAAAAAATAGAATGGTATAGACCAATTTCTTTCTGCTATTTTATGCATTTTGATGATGTTATTTTTTGCATTAATTGGTTAATGAACACAAAGAATGAATAAGTTTTGCTAACTATCCTTATTTGATCATCACATATTGTACACAAATACTGATAGTCAGCTCTGTACCCCACAACTGTGTATAATCAATTATGTTCCAGTAAAAAATAAACAAGAAAAAGATTCATAACAGTTAGATTTTAATTTTTCTGGGCACTTCTTTGTCCTGTATGACATACACTTCAGAATTCTTGGATTCTACCTTGTGTCATAGCTAATAGCTAACATTCACTGAGTTCACTCTCTTTCCCAGGCACTCTTCCAATAAGTGCAGTACAATACATAGAAAGAGAGTGTACAGGGTAGAAAAAGGGCAGGTTATGCTTGATGGGAGGATGTACATGTGCATTTCTTACTTCAATTGACCAAAGATTAAAGCAATCATTTACTTTGTTGTACGAAGACATGAAGGGTAGAGATATCAATAGTATTTCAAAGATGGAAGAAACCTTAAGGATCATTAATTTAATCTCTTCATTTTATAGATGAAGAAAGCTCAGGGGAGTGTAAGGGCTTGCCCAATATATACTCCCTAGGTCACTATGACTAAAAACTATGAGTTTTGATTCTGATTCTTTGTTTCTTCTAGATTACCAAGACGATAAGTTCATTATAAATAATATTGTTTCCAAAAATGATGCAACATTTAAGAATGACTAAAAACCAAACAATACTGAATTTTACTTCATCTGGTAAATGGTGATCTGAAATAAAAATCTTGATAAACTTAAATAAAATACCCGTATTATTTAATTTTGAAATATTCTTTAGTCTGAAATTTTGAATTTTAGACTAAAATAGTGTATTTTATTATAATTTTCAAAACACTTTTTCAGTCTTATTATTTGAATGGCACAGCAGAGAACAGCGAGGCAAAGGAGTTTAGATAGGCTGGGTTTTTCTTAACCTGATGGGTAACTTAGGTCTTTCAAAGGTGATTGCTCAATTTATAAATGCTCGTCACAACGTATAGTTCTGTCATAAGATGCATTGTGCTTAAACAACCATATTTTATAGTCTCTCTTACATCCTCACTTCTTTTCTAAGTAATATATTTTTTTTCCTTTTTGTCTTTTTTACTGACCGGTAACAGGATAGCAACCCTCGGTGTCGCGCCCATACCGGGGACCGGCAATGGGATCGCAACCCTCGTTGTTGCGCCCACACAGCGCTCAGCCAGTGAGCGGGAACCGGTCTCCACATGGGATCCGAACCCTCGGCGGGAGTGCCGCCGCGCTCCCAAGCGGTGCACTCTCCAGTGCGCCACCGGGCCAGCCCTTCTAAGTAATATTTTTTATTATTATTATTATTTTCCCTTTTTGTCTTTTTTCGTGACCGGTAATGGGATCGCAACCCTCGGTGTTGCGCCTGCACCGCGCTCAGCCAGTGAGCGGACCGGTCTCTATATGGGATCTGAACCCTCGGCGGGGCTCCCAAGCGCCCCAATCAACTGAGTGCGCCACTGGGCCGGCCCCTAAGTAATATTTTATAAATTCATGAAACATTGTATATTACTGAAGTTACGTGATCTTACTTTCAAATATTGCTCTTTCCCAGGGAGGGATGAATGTATACCAACATGCTGGAAAAGAGAAGGTTTATACCGAATACGAATTTGCTTCCTTCGTTGTATACAATTTGTCTAGATAAAAAGAGAAACAACAATTGTCTGTAAAAATCCAAATGTTCCTTTTCATTGCATTTACTGAGGGCGGAATTTTTATTGTACTAGTTTTTGCTAGAGTTCTATACTAATATTTAAAAACTTAAAGCATTTATTCTTAGCTTTTTCTTCGTAAGAATAATAAAGCAAAAGAGTTGGGCTAAAAAAAGGTTTGAAAGCATGTTTTTTCAGAACTCTGTCTTAGAAAACCAGGCTACTGTTGTGCCAACTATAATTTTCCTCTTCTTTCTTCTTATTCCAATAATTTGAGTGAAATATTTAGTATTTTCCTGTCTACCCATTTCTATCAGACTATGTTATGCTGTCTTTCTTTCCCCAAATTCATTGATTAATTTCTTTATTGAATTACATTCTCCTTGATTTCTTCTTAAATAGTAGGAAATATATCACTGGGGAAGGGTATGGGAACTATCTGTACTTTCTGCTTAATTTCTCTGTAAAACTAAAATGGCTATTAAAATAAAGAAAAAAGTATATCATTAAAACAAAGAGTCTATATTATATTTAATGGAATGGAATTTGGATAATCTTCTCAAAAATAAAAATAAGAAAGATGACCTGTGGCACCATTCCTATGAAAAACAAACATTAGAAATGATTATGATCACTATCTGAGATTTATTATTTTTTATTGAAAGGTAATTGATTATATATATTTGTGGGTGCAGAATTGAGTATCAATACATATATATACAATATGGGGTGACCAAATCATGATAATTAGTATACTCATGTTTAGCAAACATAATCAATCTTTGTGACCATTAACTAATTTCTTGCTAATCCCATTTCGCCTCCCCCTTTCCCACCTCTAATAACTACAGTTCGTTCTCTCTTTTTTTGAAAATTCAATGTATTACTGTCATCCATCCATCCCTCCTTCCTTCCTTCCTCCCTCCCTTCCTCTCCCCCCCATCTCTCTCTCTCTCTTACTTACTTTTCTGTCTTTCTTTCTTTTAGCTTCCACTTATAAGTGAGGACATGTGGTATTTCCCTTTCTGTTCCTGGCTTATTTCACTTAACATAATTTTCTCTTAAATTCAATTATGTTGCTGTGAATGGCAGAATTTCATTCTTTTTTATGACAGAGTAGCATACTATTGAGTATTTATACCACGTTTTCCTTATCTAGTTGTCTGTTGATGGACATTTAGGTTGGTTCCAACTCTTGGATATTGTATATAGAGCTGCGATAAACATGGGAGTGCAGGGGTCCCTCTGATATGATGATTTCTATTCCTTTGTGTATATATTGCTGGATCGTATGGCAGTTTTAGCTGTAGCTGTTTGTGGAACCTCCATACTGTTTTCCATAATGTCTGCACTAATTTACAGTCCCACCAACAGTGTAGAAGAGTTCCCTTTCCCTGCATCCTTGTCAGCATTTGTTATTCTCTGTCTTTTTGATAATAGCCAGTCTAACTGGGGTGAGATGATTTGCAGTGTGGTTTTGATTTGCATTTCCCTGATGCTGAGTGACACTGAGCATTTTTTCACATGTCTGTTGGTCATTTGTATATCTTCACATGAGAAATGTCTATTCAGCTCCTTTGCCCATTTTTTAATTGGGTTACTTGTTTTCTTACTATTGGCCTGAGAATTATTTTATATACTTTATACATAGAAAATTCAGAAAAAGGGCCGAGCCCGTGGCGCACTCGGGAGAGTGCGGCACTGGGAAGTGCAGCAGCACTCCCGCCGCAGGTTCGGATCCTATATAGGGATGACCGGTGCGCTCACAGCGCTCACTGGCTGAGCGCGGTGCGACCGGTCTCAAAAAGGACAAAAAAAAAGAAAATTCAGAAAAATGAATCTCAAATTTATATACATAATAATTTTTTAAATAGCAGGCTTATTTAGATACATTTTTACCCAGTACTGACTCATAGAAAAATATTTTATTAAAGGGTCATTTTGATAACTGTAAAATAATTTAATGATCTAGAAGTAATTTAACCTGAAACTAAATTAATGTCAGATAAAACTGGTTGAGGAGTTAAAATTTAGCAAATACAAGCAATGTTTGCTATGCTAATAAAGTGAAGAAATACTCACAAGAGCTTCTCCTGGCTTACACATCTTTATCTGAAAAATGTCATCCAAGAGCAAATCTATAGGTTTATCTTTGTAGAACATTAAAAAAAAACGTACAAAGTCAGGTAAGTCCTCAGATCGAAACAGCTTTCCTATGGAGAGAACGTAAATAAATGGAAATAATTCATATACGGTTAATTCCATTAATGTGAAAAAAGAGCAAAAATTATTAAAATTTTACTATATCCTTTTCATTAGAAATGAATAAAGTTTAAAGTATTAGTGAATATTTTACTTCAGTGTAGTATCAGAAAATGTTAAAGTAAAGCTTAATATGGGCTTAGGCATTAAGGATTACTACTACTGAAGGATAAAGCCTATTAGCAGGTTTAGAATAGCCAGTACTCTCAGGAAATCAGTTTGATAACTAATGAGTATGATTATTTAAATCAAGTAAAAGATAAGTAAATAAAATAGAAAATATAGAAGCTGTAATCTCTTAACGTTGTACAAACTGTGATTTTTTACCTGATTCAGAATGTTATTTTTCTTTTGTATTTATAGTTATTAAAGATTTACTATATTTTAAAATATAGTTCCATTAGGAGCAATTATTTTTTTAAATATACTGCATCTTTAATTTAAAAATGAAATTGAAGTGATAAGGTTCAGATTAATGTTCACTTTAATGTAAATAATGTAAAATACATCTAACCATTTAATAAGCATGATAGTAAAATGTAAGCATATTTCATTCTTCACTAGGACTTGAGTCTATATGGGTCACTTAATCAAATATATTGTGGTATTTAATTTTTTGTCACCCATTTATATGGTAACTAAAGCAAGTGACTCGAATAGTTGATTTTATTCCTAATCTGCTATGAGCATGCTGTAAAATTATATTTATCAAACTCATATTTTGGCAAATAATAACAGAACCGTTGTTATGATAACAAAAAGCAAAGCCTCTGTAAATTTAAGCTTAAATAAAACTTCATTTTGTTTTGTTTTGTTTTGGTGGCTGGCTAGTATGGGGATCTGAAACCTTGACCTTGGTGTTATAACATCACTCTCTTACCAACTGAGCTAACTAGCCAGTCCCCAAACTAGCGCCACATATAAATAGTGCTCCTTGTTCAATGTGTTCTTGTGATGATTAGAATGTATATATTCTCTAGGCTTCTAATACTTGACTTTCCTAAGAAAGATAATTTAAAGTTCTCAAAGTAATAAATCAGCAAGATGATTTCCTCTCCAAGCTTCTCATTGGTATCTCTGTTACTTGTATTTTTTCTTCTTATTTTAACAAAAGCTAAGCAAAAACCTTTATGGTCTTAAAATTTCACAGAAAATTAGGGAAAGAAAAGTAATCAAGTGAGTATATGAAGAACAGATGAGCCTCAGTAACAGAGAAATTCTTTACAGTCCTCAGAATGGAAAAAAAAAATTAATAGAAAAGACCACGTGTTGTCAAGCATATGGCATATGAGGACGCATGGACTCCAGTGCACTGCTTATGTGTACATAAACTGTACAGCCAATCTGCAAAGCAATCCAGCGGTATTTGAGACTCAGCTGTATTTGTTCTCAGTGATCCCACCCACTCCAGGTGACACATGTCACTTCATTTTTTTGTTGTTGTAGCAAAAAACTGGAAGCAATCAAGGTCTCCCACTCAGGAAATGGATAAGTCAAATGGATTATTATGCAGCACTTATCCAGCAGTAAGAAACAATAAACTAAATGAACATAATGTAACATGTTGAGAGTTTAAAAATCTAGTTCTGAGGACAAAAAGGTTAGAAACACAAATAGGGCTTATCATATTACTATTTATGTATATTTAAAACAGGTACATACATAACAAACACCAAATATTTTACATGGAATATGGATATATGTATATTTCAAACATATTAGAGTGATCATCTCTTGGGGGTGAGAGAAAGTGGGAGTAGGGATTGGGAATAAAAGAAAAGAACAAAACGAGAGAGAGTACATGTGTGAAATCAATAATGTCATGCACTACAAAAAGAGGAGCACGGTAATTAAACCTGGGGACTTGAGGTTCAAAAGAAAGGAAAAAGGAAAAAAGAACAGAAATGAAGAAAGAAGAAAGGAAGGAAGAAAAAGGAAAGTCTGTGGAAGAAACAAAAAAAATTTACATCATGGATACAATTCTAGGAACTTTTCTGTGGTGGGAATAATTCATATCATATTTTTATATTTTTTAAGAATGTTGGCTTTGGCATACTGGAAATTGCAGGAACTTTAGAGTACAATAGTTCTGAGTTAAAATTCATTTCTCTACAACTTTAATTCTCTGAGTTTCAGTATTCTTCCATGTAAAGTAGAGAAAAGTACATCTTAGTCACTGGGCCAGCATGTGTGCCAGACTCACAGCAAGCATTTAATAACTGGTAGCTTTTTAATGTTTTTATAACATATGTCAATCTGCTCATTTTTACTGTCTATCTAGAAAACATTTTTCGTTTAAAAAATACATTATCTGAAATTCAGGTAATTGAAGCTGATTTTACTATTAAAATAGTAGTATCTTTTTAGAAATCATGCCATGCCTTTCCACTTAGTAACAAACTCTTTGATATATTCCTAAAAACTCTTAAGATTATTGTGTGCTAAAAAACTGGATGCAACAAAATAAATCTATTACTTACCTATGAATCCAAGTATTGAAAACTCAATATAAAACCAATCATTTGAAGTGATATTATGTACAAAATCTGTTATTTTTGTGAAGTACCTCTTCTTAGCTATGATATCATCTTCCAGCTGGAAGAAAACCCAAAAAGGCATTAATACCTTTAATGCTTCCCTTGAGTACATTATATTAGTTTGATAATAGAAAATGCTTACAATAGAATACATTGAAAAAATGTTTTTTATGAGGTAATAATTTTATTTTTAGTTCAATGCACTAACTGTATTTACAGTTAGTGAATTTTCATTTCCTGCTTCTGAGATTAACCAGATCAGGGATTATCTGTTTCTTCCCTAAAAGTACTCTGTAACATTCAATTTAAATCCTCTATGAAAGAATATCTTTAATCCATTTTCATCGTCACCAATACTTCAGTTTCTAGTTTAAGACTATCTTTGTGCTTTTAGGTTGTTATAACAAAGTACCATAGACTGGGGGGTTTATAGATAACAATCATTTATTTCTCACAGTTCTGGAGGCAGGGAAGTCCAAGATCAAGGTACCAGCAGGCTTGGTGTCGGCTGAGAGCCTGTTCCTCCTAGATGGTCCCCTCACTGAGTCCTCACATAGTGAAAGGGCCTAGCTAGCTCTATGAGGTCTCTTTTGTGAGGACATTAAATCTCAATCACATGGGCTCCGCCTCCTTGATCTAATTACCTCCCAAAGGCTCCCACCTCCTAATACCATCACTTTGGGGGTTAGGATTTCAACATCTTAATTCAGGGGGGGTTGGAAGGCAGACGCAAGCATTCAGACCATTGCAAAAACTAACTAGCTTCATGCTTGAGATGATAGATGCTGTGTTCTATCTCCATATGTGGCTGACAATGTAGTTCTTGGCAAAAAAAAATGACAAAGGGCACTCTCATCTACAACTAGCTGGTTAGAATGATAGTACAAGTAGACCTAAAAGTAGACCTCCATAAGAAATAGGGGCAAATGGAAACAAGAGTTTTCTTTTTTTATATAATGTATATTATGCATAATCTATAGACTGAGGGCCTCCTCAATAATTCAAAAAATTGCAGAAGTCCTCAGGCGCATTACTGGGGCACGAAATGGAATTGTGGTGTTTCAAACTGGAAAGAAGGATTTTTTTTTTCTTCCAATAAAAGAGAAAACCTTGCTTTAGGCTTTTCTCTTTCTATTCTCCAATAATGTTCTGCAAACTCTTCTCACAAGTGCACATTGTCTCATGTAGTGAGGTACATACTTGCTATTGAGAAACACAACATTATTATAATACAGGAATTTAAGGAGTACAATCTATATACTCTTGATTTTTACAAATACAGTAAGGCACTGTAGAGCTGTTTTACTATAAAGTGTGAGGCAATGTAGGGTAGCAATGATAAGCATATATAATGTCTGACATAAAATAAGTACCCCAAATACATTTGCTTAATCTAAATTGTGAGGAGTGATATGTAGGCAGTACAATTTCTTTTTTTTTTTCTAATTTGAGATTTTCTTTTCAGTTTGTTTTAGGCATCTATAATTTCCTCTGTTACAGTGAGCCCAGCAAGAAAATTAATATATAATCAATTTTAAGCTTCCTCTTGGCATTTTAATATAATTAGTATTTTCTATTTTCTGTGTAAAAAGTAAGGGGAAGAAACACAGTGAGGAAGGAAGGAATCAAAGGAGGGAAGGAGAAAATAATACTTACAATTTAAATTACGTATATACCAGGTTCTTACCTGTAAATAATACATGGCCTTATGTTGGGCATACAGCATCAAAATACAAAAATCCAATACTTGTTTGATTTGCCAACTAAAGATAAGCAATAAAACCTGTTAATATATGTCAATAGTATTTATTTTTTATTTGTAAATACACCAGTTGAGAGGGAGGGGGAAAAAGGAATGGGTAAAGGGACATGAAAATCAACTACAATGTATATTGAGAAGTTAAAATAAAAATACACTTCAATAATTAAAAACAAACTTTTTTTTGGTTACAGTTTACTAACAGAGTACTAGCTACATTAAGTAAAATTGAATATGTTTTTACTGAAAAGTTTTCCATCTTTATTCAATGGACAGTATCTGCCATTGCTAACTAGGATAAGCATAATCTATTTATTTTACATTTTGGTTAGTTAAATTTTGATCTAGGTAATAAAATTAATATTCTTTCGTTCAAACAAGACCTAAGATCAGAAAGTATAAAGAAGCTTTATCCTAATTTAATATTAAGCTAGATACTAGGCCAGGTCCTGAAGATATAAAGAGCAATACACAATGCAGTTTTTGCCTTTCTGGGTCTCATGATCTCATATAAAGAGACAGCAAATTAATAAAAATTAGAACATTAAGATAAGTGCTATATGAAGATATCAACAAGGATAACTATCATACAGTAAGATGGGGAGGTTGGATCAGAGAGAGGTGACAATTTTGCAAAGGCATGAAGCATATGACAGAGCATGCCACCTTGTTCTACAGCACAGAGAGCGGATGGAAAAGAAGCTGATGATGGCAAGGTTGGCAGAGATGAGATCATGAAGGATCTTTTATGACATGCATCAAACTTTGAACTTGATCTCATATGAAAAAAGATTCTTCTGGCTACAGTATGGAGAATGGATTGGAGGAAAGTCCAGACTAGACGAGTGTTAAGGAAAGCAAATAGATCTCCACTGGTGAAGCCCTAGGCAGTGAAATGGAGATGAGAGGGATGACATGCAGAGAGATTTTTAAAAAGAAACAATGGAGACAGAAAAGGCTGAAGGAAATACAAGGGTCTCAGATGACTGTCAGCTTTATGACTCTAAAAGCTGGGCATAACGTGAGTCACTGGTTAAAAGCAGCACAAAAACTTTAAAAGATTTCTAGAACCTGATGTACTATTTATCATTTTAAACAAAACAAAGCTAATAGATTTCCTGGGATAAGACCTTTTTCTGATGTCTTTCTTTCTTTCTTTCTTTCTTGGCAGCTGTCTGGTATGGGGATCTAAACCTGTGACCTTGGTGTTGCCAGCACCATGCTCTCCTAAGTGAGCTAACCAGCCAGCCCCCCTTTTTCTGATTTCTGACGTCTTTTTCTTTATTAAGCATTGAGGAACCAAATTATTACATTTC